CCTTCAGTCCTTCTATTTTACCTTCGACTACTTCAAATAATAGTTACTCTTTTTGCAAAACGAGTCCGATCTAGTTTCCTTTTCTTTTCAAGATCGTGTTCAGTAGAGTCCTTTCTTAGCCCACTCTTCTCAGGATTTCTTCATTTGTTATCTTATATGTTCACTTTATCATTTCCATTCGCTTCCAGCACCACATTTCAAAACTCTCTAGATAGTTCCTGTCGGCCTTTCTTAGAGTCCATGTCTCTGATCCGCACAGAGCTATGTTCCAAACATAGCCCTTCATTAGTCTCTTCCGCAAGTCGAGACAGTAGTGTTCTCTTATTCGTGAATGCCGCCTTGGCTTGTGCGTCCTTGTCCTGATTTTTCTCGTGCAGTATCCATCTCTGGTCAGGATGCTTCCTAGGTATTTAAAATGATCCACGTCTTTCAATTCTCGATTTCCTACTGTTATCCTCAGGGACTTATCTCTTTTCGTGATTCTCATCGCTTTTGACTTGTCGATGTTGATTTCCATTCCGTATCGGTTTTTCGATATTACCACTAGATTATCAGCGTACTTCATTGTGGTGATATTTCTCCTTCCATTCACGAGTCCTTCTCCGTATAGGTTGAACAGAATCGGTGACATGCAGCATCCTTGCCGTACTCCTCTACCTATTTCAACGCTGTTTGTTACTCCCTCTATCACTAGAACCTTTACTTTCTGTCCCATTTACAGATTTTGGATCAGCCTGCGATCTCTCCAATCAACGTTAATAGACTTTAAAATTCCCATACTCAAATTGACTCTTTAAAAAGCTTTCTGCCAATGTATGAAATACAAGCACCTGTTAACGTCGAGAAATCTGTTCGACAATATCTTTAATATTCCAATAGCATTGTGGGGAATCAAGCAAGCTTGGAAGGAGACAGAAACAAAAATCACTGGTCATTTTCATATCATGAAATTTTATAATCAATAAATTGTTTATATTGTTATACAAATGGAATTTATATTTTTATATTCATAAATATTTCAACCAAAGGGTTCACACTTTGAATTTTTAAGAAGAGACAATACTGGACAGATGACGGTGAGAAGAGAAGCAAAAAAAATTAGATCGGATTCTTATTGAGGAATAAGTTCCTTCTAAACAATGTCATCGAGAAAACTCGGAAACATAACTATTTCCATACTAGTATGGAAAATAATTATGAATGAAAATATAAATTTGTATAAAAATAAAAACAATTTATTGATTATAAAATTTCATGATATTAAAAATGAATCTGATTTTTCTCTGCCTCCTTCCAAGCTTGCTAGATTCTCCACAATGCAATTGGAATATTAAAGATATTGTCGGACAGATTTCTCGACGTTAACAGGAAAGGTACTGGCCAAAATCCTTGCGAGTTAAACGCCAATTTAAAAAACACTTAAGTTTACAGTATGTAATAAATAATCTATTTGAAATTATTCAAAACGATCATTGATTATTTTCATTCCTCGAATGTTTAATACGCACGGTACGGAAAGTTCCAGCAATTTGTCTTAAGGCACGATGGCATGCGCCCCACTAGTTTTTTATTTTACTTGTATATGTAAACTAACAGTTACTGATTTTTATTCAGTAACTGTTGTATCATGTATTATCATGATTTATCTAATTAACTTCCAGTATGGTAGTTATAGTAATGGGCCGAAAATCGTAAATGAACATTTTTGCATATCTTCACGTTTTGAAGGTTTCGGAACATTTTGGCATACCTCAGAAAAATTGGATGTGTGCGTGTGTTTTGTATGTCCGCATTTTTGCGTTCACGTTTTCGGGCGCACGGATCAACCGATTTGAATGGTTCAAAAAACATTCGATTCATATTGGGATTGGTGCTGATTAATTTTTGGCAAAGGCAGGTTCAGCCGTTACGGAGACGCAGAGTGAAGAGTGCAGAAAATAGAAATCGAAATTTTGAGAGAACGGAGCTTCCGATTTGAATAATCTAAAAAACAATTAATTCGTAATGATGGGGAGAAGTGGTGGTTAGTTTTTGGCAAACGCGGGTCCAGCCGTTTCGAAGATACGGAGCTACGAAAAATGGCAGTTTTTGAGAAAACTAAGCATCTGATTTGAATGATTCAAAAAACTTTCCCCTTGTGTTGACGAAACAATTGCATTTAAAAAAAAAAAATTTAGATTTTTTTTTGTATATCGAAAATAATTCAGATTTTAATTTTAATACTTGCTAAAGTTCAAAAGCTCACTTATATATTTTAAATAAATATTTTTAACTTTTCAATTCAGTTTATATAATTCTTATAAGTATTAGACAATGTTATATTATTTATTTGTAATAATCTATTTGAAAACATGTAATATTTCTCGAACATTTAGTTAGAGTACGGGAAGTTCCTCAATTCGCCCTAAGGCATGATGCCATACACCACTAGTTTTTTTTAGAATTGAACGTATTCAAACATAAACGTATATATATATATATAATATAAGTAAAAAACATACTTCAAAATTTTCGAATCAAAATTAAAAACTAGTGGTGCATGGCATCGTAACTTAAGACAAATTGCTCGAACATCCTATATCGCAATGAAATATTCCAGTAATTTAAAATGTTAATATGTCAATATTATTA